CCGGCTCTGGTGGAGCTGTGCTGTCCTGCTCCCTCAAGGACTCCTCCATAGCCCCATCTCTCTTGTGCAATGGAGCAGGAGAGTGTTGCAATGACACAAAACACTCCTTGCTTCCTTGCCCTCTGGCCACTGACAAAGTCTTAACTAGGAAGAGCCCAAAACAAACATTTCTTTTGTGTTTCAGATCTTCAAGCCTTACCCAACCCCCAAAACAGTGGAGGGCTGGAGGGGTGGAGGGCTGGAGGGGTGGAGGGATGGAGGGATGGAGGGATAAGCACCTCCCCATCCACTGGACCCCAGAAAAATGCCAAGCAGCTGGCTTGTGGCTCACTTTTTGAGACCATCAGAAGTCAGCTGCAAGAGATGAATCTTTCAGACTTCAGTAAGCCCAGCACAGTCAGCATACCCCCTGTTTTTGAGGGGGAACTCTGGACAACTAACAAGGGCTGTAAATTGCTACTTGCTTCTAGCCCAAGGAGCCCCAGGTAAAATCCATTCTCAGGAGAGGTTTCCAAGCTGTCTTACCCTTCCTTTCCATATACATCCTCTGTGGCTGCAGCTGCAGTGATGGCCCCCACAATGCCTCCAATAAGGCCTGGCATGGCATGGAGGTTGTGAATGCCACATGTATCCTGGATATGCAACCTGGATTCCAAAAAAGGCTGAGGAAAAGGGAGGCAGAGAGAGGTCAGGGACATGAGCACAGCTCTGGAAAGAGTTAGCTCCTTCCATGGAGAAAGAAGGAAGGAGTGGTGTGATTTTGTGTGCCATTAAAGAGCCAAGGATTTGTAGATACAGATGTGAGTCAAGCTCAAGACAAAACAACAAGATATCCTCCAAACACTCTCCTGTTGGGAGAACCCTCCTGAGCATTTTGGGGCAGTAAATAAGTCAGAAGTGCATCTTCATAAGGTATGGTGGAAAGCAGGAACCCTCAAAGGGAAGCGAATCTATTTCTGGTCTCCTTAGCAGGACCAGGGCTGCAGACCCCTAGAGCAGCACTCACCGTGAGGTAGACATACCCCACTGTGGACACGATGCCAGAGATGAACCCGACAATGAGGGAGCCGTATGGAGTCAGCATCATCTCTGCGCTGGTACCCACGGCCACACCACCTGCCAGCGTTGCGTTCTGGATGTGGACCTGCAGAAGTAACCACCCTGTCTTGGCATCTCGGGGAGACTGCAATTGCTCAGGGCTGGTGCAAATGGCAAAGTGGGAGAATCAGCTCTAAGAACGTTTCCAGAGGAAACATTAGGGACCATTTTCCTGCTTGTTGGTGAAAAACAAGAGAACATGCAGCCTCTGTCTGCAGCACAGGCGCACGTAGACTCCCACTCCCCGTACCACACATGTTCTTTGCATCCACAAATCTGGGTGAGGAGTTGTGATGAGATGGAAATTGTCTCACCCATGTGTCACGCAAGCTCTGCTGTCACAGAGACATGTCACCCACACACATAACACGTACAAGTCAGCCCCCCAATTGCTCATGAGCTGCCGCGCAGGCCTTGCTTGGCTTTGTTGGCGAGAGCTGCCAAACATGGCTCTGCAACGTGCCTGTCAGTAGCTCTCCCGGCAGAGCAAGTCCACTCCACCACCTGCAGGGCATCACCCCGCACCTCAAGCACCACAGGACTCACTTCCCACTCGCTTATTCACTGGAGCCTCTGGGTTTTGCCTGGATGCTAGTTTCACAATCACACCCTGAAAACAGTATCTATTCAGCAAAGGACAAGTGCCAGTCATTTCCTGGGCCTCCGATAAACCCATTGTAAGTCCCCTGGGCAGTTCGGAGCTCTCTGCTCTGAGCTTACCATGTCAAGCTTGCCTTTCTTCTGCAGCATGCTGGAGAATGCCATCGTGCTGAGGACACAAGCAGCCAGCGAGCAGTAGGTGTTAATGGCAGCTCGGTGCTGGGCATCCCCGTGCTCGGAAATTGCTGAGTTAAAACTGGGCCAGTACATCCACAGATACAGGGTACCTGATGGGATGGGAATGAGGAGATGAAGGAGAGAAAGGGAAAAAAGAGAATAGAGGGATTGAAAATAAACTCCAAAGAAGATCTTTCTGAACAGGGGGAAGTTAAATCCTGTAGTCCTGCTGTCCTGGAGCTGCACCCCTCATGATGGGACCAGCACCGGGAGAGGGTGGCAGAATGGGAGGAATCAGAACATATCCTTGTCTTCCCAGGCACCATCTCAGCCCAGCCACCGATGAAGGGAGCTGAGTAGCTCTGAGGTCTGGAATACCGGGATACAGAGCTTCTCAGGCCCAGATCCTGGTTTCAGTTTGGTTTTCCCAGAGACACGGGAGGCACCAGCCCCCTACAGCTGAGTGATCCACGTGTACTAGCACCCTGAGGTGGGGGCTGACTCACCAATCATTGCGAAGAGGTCGGAGTGGTACACAGAGCCCTGCTTGTCCTTGCTCTGCTGCAGGTTGGGTCTGTAGAGGATGCGTGTCACTGTGAGGCCAAAGTAGGCTCCGAAGGTGTGAATGGTCATGGAGCCACCTGCATCCTTAACCTGCAGCCATGGGAAAACAGAGGTTTGCTTCTGCAATTGCCACTCATTCTGGAGATGAGGTCTGGATTGCATCATGCCCAGCTTGTCTGCCCACCCATCCTTCCAGCCAGCACTCAGTCATGGGGAGAGGTGGACGAAAATGCTCTGGTTCTGCTATCTGTCCTGCTCGTCTGGTTGTGCACGGCCATGGCATTCCTCTTAGCTTCCCCTTGGAAGGCATCGAGGGACATGGAACTTTCTGACCTAACCCAATGGCAAGTAGGTTGTGGTGACGGCCAGACTGGCTCCCAAGAGCACTCAGGTCTCCTGGGAGCTCATTTGCTTCCCAGATCCCAAAGCAGGAGGAACACTGCCTCTGTTAGCAGACATATCGTCCTCTTTGTCTCTTGATTTCCTTCTACAACACTCACATTCCAGCAGGGAAAAGAGATGAGAGGGAAATCTCAGGCACAAAGAGAGTGACTGGTCCTTTGTGTTAAGATTCCTCATCTGCCTTGGGAGCCGTGGCAGAGGACCCAGTGCTTTTGAATTGCCAGGCTTGTGTGTAAAACCCCAGAAGACCTCCCTTCTCTGGGAAGTACCACCTGCTGACTCCACTTGATAATCTGTCTACTTTTTCTACCTCAATTCTTGCATTTTAAATGCTTACGAGGCAGTGGCTTTGTGGAGTCATCTCAAAAGGAGACAATTTGGAGAGACACAGAGAGGAAGGAGCAGAACGAAGTGAGTGGTGCCCAAAGCCTTACATGAAGCAGGTTGAGGAGGATGTACTCATTCACTGAGAAGAGCGTGACTTGAAACAAAGTCATGACGAGGAGCTGTATCGGGCTGGTTTTGCCCAGGATGGCCCCAAAGGCAATGCACACAGAGCCCACACAGAAATCAGCATTAATCAGGCTGAAAAGGGGGAAAGAAAAATGTGGTTTAATGAGGATATACTCTTCTGTAACTCAGCCTCACCCACCCTCGGTTCCAGAGATCCCTCATGAATCACAGAATAGGTGTTTAGGAGACGCCCTGGATTTCCCACTGACCTTCCTCCCATCCTTACACATTGTCCAGGAAATGTGCTTTCCCAAAATTATTTTTTATGATGTGGATCATATTATGCCAGTTCTCAGCTCTGGTGCCCATGGTGCTTGGCTTGTGACTAATTGGTGAAGCTTGTCTCACATTTCACTTTAAGCAGTACCACCCCAACGGCAGGTACCTTTGGGCTAAAAGGTGGAAAGCAAGTGGGGGTATGTGGAGGGAAGACAATGTTTTAGTGATTTGTTTGCACGTAACAGAGGGACAAGGTGCTGCCAGCTGCTTAGCTCCCATCCCAGCTCTTCCACTGGCCAGTCAAGGGGTGGCATCCCAGAGCCCACCTCCTCCTTACTTCTCCACTCCAATGAGGATCTTCCCGCTCTTGAAAGAGTGGAACCAGCCTTGCATCAGGAGAGCCCACTGGATCCCAAAGGCAGCAAGAAGGAAATTGAAACCCACGGCACCGAATCCATAACGCTTGAGGAATGTCATGAGGAAGCCAAAGCCCACAAAGATCATCACATGGACATCCTGGAAAGCTGTGCAGGGAGAAGGGACTGTCAGCTCTGTGGGGACAACGGGGTTGCAAGTGCCATTTGAATTTGATGATGAAAGGAAACTAACCACATCAGTGGCAACAGGGAGGAAATTCAAGAGAAAATGTGTTTGTCTCACATCCCCACATTTCTGAAAATGACTCAGCTTTTAGAAACTGGCTTTTGGTTAAAAGGCTCAGTCTTGAAAGTAAAAAATGTTTATTAAAAGCTACGTGCAGGAGATGACCATAAACTAAGGGAGTATACAAAGGAAAATACTTTTCTATTCAGATTGTTTTTCCCCCTTTTGTAAAAAACTCCGAAAATGTCATGTAAAATGAACAGCAAAGTTTTGTTAAAACACATGAATGGTCGTTTTGAGGAGGTCCATCCAATGCAGGGTCCTGGTGATGGCTCTGAGCAAGAAGAGTACAAGAGCAAGGGTAGTTTACAAATGTGTTTTTAAATGTTACTGAAATCAGTAGTGAAATACCCTTGAGATCAGGATCCCACGTTGTGGGAGACGCAGTTTTTCCCACAAATGCTCAGACCTGCTAGCTCAAGACCCTTGGATGCCCTT